ACACTGTATCTGCTGACCGACTTCTCCTTACCCTTCTTTTTCCCTATGCTTCCCAGCCTCTGGTAACTACTATGCTACTCTCAACTTCCCTGAGATCAATTTTTAGATTCCACATACAGATAAGATTATGCAGTATGTTTTTCTGTGGTTGTGTCTGATTATTTCACCTAAAAATAATATTTTCCATGTTCATCCATGTTGTTGCAAATGACAGGATATCTTTCTTTTTAAGGGCTGAATAATATTCCATTGTGTGTGTGTGTGTGTATGTATCATATTTTCTTCACTAGTTCATGGATTCTTATGTTGTTTCTATTTCTTGACTATTGTGAATAGTGCTGCAATTAACATGGAGTGCAAATGTCTTTTGGGTATACTAACTTCAATTCCTTTGAATGTATACCTAGTAGTGGGATTGCTGCATCACAGGTAATTCTATCCTGTAATTTTTTGGGAAACTTCCATACTGTTTTCCATATTGTTATATGAATTTATATTCCATCAACAGTATGTATGTAATGGCTCCCTTTTCTTCACATCCTCTCAATATCTGTTATCTTTTATCTTTCAATAAAAGCCATTCAGCTGGAGTGAGGTAGTAATCTCATTATAGTGTGAATTTACATTCCCCTGTTTGCTAGTGAAGTGGAACATTTTTTTCATATACCTGTTGGAAGTCATGGCCCTTCCGAAAGCCTCCTCATGACAACAGTACAGAGGTGCTGTGATAGAAGGGTCCACCCTCTGTGGCATCTCAAAATAAGGGAAAGTCTACATCAGGAGTCAACAACTCAAATGCCTCTAGATGTCGGAAAGCCAATGTCAACAAGTGGGCTGGAGGAGAAAGAAGGGGTGGTACTGCAGCGACTGGAGATCGTTATACCTACTTCTCACTTCTCACCAATTAGTGAGAATGGAAGATGGCCCATTCTTAAATGTTAACAACAATTAGATACACATTCATAAATTCTCAAGAACACATCTGGGGCCACCAATAGCCCACGAGTGCCAGTTTGTGCCCCCAAGTCTAGCACACAGAATGACACTTTGCCTTGCTACACACTGGTCTGTCTATACCAAGGGTGTGATGCTCAGCTGTGACCACTACCCCTAATAGGACACACATGAGCCAGGGCTGGTGTGCAGACAGGTAGGCAGGATGGGGGGAAACTTTAAATAGTTCAATTCCATTTAATCAGTATTTACAACTAGTGGAAAGAGGACAGCCACAGCTCTACTCTTAAGGACCCTACTGCCTTGGGGGTGGAGGAGTCAGTTAAGTGATCTGAGGATAATTCTTTCAAGGAGATTCATGGAAAACAGATTATATTAATAATAATGATAACAATTTACTGAGCATTTGCTCTATGCCAACACGATACTCTGCGCTTTACCTGTCATTAGGTCACTTAATTTTTACCACTCTCTGAGGCAAATGCTGTAACATTCTTTGTTTCATGTAATGAAGTGAGTCTCAGGAAGGTCAGGTAAATCAGCCATTACACCACACAGAGTGATTTTCTCTGGTCCAGAGCAGGACAGGCTGTCTAATGAGAGAATGTACCTAAGAGAGCTAATATCTGGCACTATAAATGGGTGCTGAGTAAATTTTTATTCTCTCTGGAGTCATTTAAGAATGAGCTGTGTGGTCACTTATTAGAGGTGCTAGAGAGGAAGGCCAAGTGTCAGATGGGTATAAACATGTTCATGACCTTCCAAGCGTGAAAATCTCTTTTCTTAAAAAATAATTATTTCCCTTCTTGGCAGTAATACTGCAAGGTAATTATTGACTACTCCCCAACCTGCCCCCGATCTATAACAGTGGCAGTGGTCCCAGGAATGGGAAACTAAAGGCTTAGAAAGGATATGAGTTAAATCATGGGAAGAGGAAGACAAATCATCAGTTAATTAATATTGACTGAGTGTCCATGTCATAAAGCATATTGTTCTGAGGTCTAAGTCTGTGCACAGCAGGAAAAGATGAGGAGAAAAGGTTTCCACCCAAAACTCAGTCCTAGCTTTGTCTTGAATTTACTGTGGGAACTTCAGGTTTTTCCTAAGCTTTGGTTTCATCTCTATACAATGGGTGAGGAGGGAGTAGAAATATACCTCTAGACTAATTTCATCTTGAACAACTGATATAAATTGTTTGCACTCAAAAATCAGATGTCAAAAGAAAGGCCTTGCCTTTCTTTTTTTTAATTATTTTTAAAAAAAATTTTTTGTAGTTGCAGATGGACAGCATGCCTTTATTTGTTTAGTTTTTCATGTGGTTCTAAGGATCGAACCCAGTGCCTCACACATGCTAGGCAAGTGCACTGCCACTGAGCTACAGCCCCAGCCTTTCTTTTTAAAAGCAAGGGAAGCCACAGAATCCTGGAACTCAAAAGAACTTTTAGATATAAGTCAGTCTAAGGCTACCCATGAATGACTAATGAGCACTTATAAAATGTGAGGTGTGCTATAGTGCAAAACCCATACCAGATCTCAAAGAGTTCATATGAAAAACAGTAAAATATCTCATTAATGTTTATATTGCTTTATATTAATTTTTCACTAAATTAAGATTAAGTATATTAAAACTAATATTACCCTTTTTTCCTTTTTTGTACCTTTTTAGTGGGGCTCCTAGAAAATGTCAAATTACAATGTGGCCTGTTGCAGTAATTCACTTGCAGGTCAGCATGGGAAAAGAAAGAAGAAGCAGAGCAAGCAAAGCAGCAGCAGAAAAAAAAGTCCTTTATTGTGTACAAGCAATCTTTTTATAGTATTGTGAACAAAGAAGGCAGCCTTCCAACATCAATAAATCAGGTCTTTCAGCTAATTAAACAAAGCATACAGAAGTTTTACTTTCTAATCAGAAGTGACCCGCTTCTCATGGCTAATCTATTCTCAGCTTGGAGTATGTTGAGCTTGCTCTTTGTTAAGAACAGATAATAAAATTTTTCTCAGCGCCCTCCTAGCCCACTTGGCAGAACATCCCGTTTGCAGGCAAGTCCTCCCAAGGATAGCAGACACCTCGTTTTCAAGCATGTCGGCTGTTACCTTATCTAAACTTTGAAGGAGCCTCTCGTTTGTGAGTAGGCCCTCCCAAGGACAGCAGACACCTTGTTTTCAAGCATGTCCGCTGTTACCTATCTATACTTTGACAGAATATCCCGTTTGCAGGCAGACTCCATCAAGGACAGTAATAGTAACGCAGTTACATCTGATTCTCTACAGTGGCCCTCATTAATTTCTAGTGAACACTGGTCCAGGGAAAAGCTGAAGCCCAGAGAGAGGTTGTCTTCTCAGTCAAGGTTCTTTCTATTCTCAATGAGCTGTGGAAGCCATACTCCAAGCTGGCCCCTAAAGATCCTCATCTCTTGCAGCACCCCTGACATCCCTTTCATACTAAATAGGGCTCATCTGTTTGGAAACTGCAAAAATTACTGTATGACTTCCAAGGCTTGGACATAAAAGTCACAGTGGCTCTACTTTCTCTCTAATATCACTTGCTTGGAGAAGCCACATGTTTTATCATAAGAACTTTCTAGTAGTTTCTATCAAAGGGTCCACATGGTGAGGAACTGAGGCCTCCTCTCAACAACCAGAACCAACCAGGAAACCGTGTGAACATCTTGGAAGCTGTCCTCCAACCCATCAAGCCTTCAGATAATAGCTGACATCTTTAATCCAAAATCATCCATAATACTAAACTAGAAACATCTAGCTAACCAAAAAAACAAATAACCCAATTAATAAATGAGCCAATGACCTGAACAGACACTTCTCAGAAGAGGATATACAATCAATCAACAAATATATGAAAAAAATGTTCATCATCTCTAGCAATTAGAGAAATGCAAATCAAAACTATTCTAAGATATCATCTTACTCCAGTCAGAATGGCAGCTATTAAGTAAGTGTTGGCGAAGATGTGGGGGAAAAAGGCACACTCATACATTGCTGGTGGGACTGCAAATTGGTGGTGGGACTGCAAATCAGCCTACAGGGACACAGCCACATCAATGTTTATAGCAGCACAATTCACAATAGCTAAACTGTGGAATTAACCTAGATGCCCTTCAGTAGATGAATGGATAAAAAAAATGTGGCATTTATACACAATGGAATATTACTAGCAATAAAAGAGAATAAAATCATGGCATTTGCAGGTAAATGAATGGAGTTGGAGAGATAATGCTAAGTTAGCCAATCCCAAAAAAACCAAATGCCGAATGTTTTCTCTGACATAAGGAGTCTGACTCATAGTGGGGTAGGGAGGGGGAGCATGGAAGGAATAGATGAACCCTAGATAGGGCAGAGGGGTGGGGGGAGTAAGGAGGGGGCAGGGGGTTAGCAATGATGGTGGAATGTGATGGACATCATTGTCCAAAGTACATGTATGAAGACATGAATTGGTGTGAACATGCTTTATATACAGAGATATGAAAAATTGTGCTCTATATGTGTAATAAGAATTGTAATGTTGGGCTGGGGATGTGGCTCAAGCGGTAGTGTGCTCGCCTGGCATGTGTGCGGCCCAGGTTCGATCCTCAGCACCACATACAAACAAGGATGTTGTGTCCACCGAAAACTAAAAAATAAATATTAAAAATTCTTTCTCTCCTCTCTCTCTTTAAAAAAAAAAAGAATTGTAATGCATTCTGCTGTCATGTAGTTAAAAAATAAAATCAATTTAAAAATTTGATAATAAAAAAAGAAACATCCAGCTAAGCTTCTCCCAAATTTTTGATCTACAAAAAATGAGATAATAAATGTTTACTATAGTTTTAAGTCAATTAAGTTTTGGTGACTCATTATGCAGCAAGAGGCAACCAGTACACAGCATTCTAAACTTAAGGGTCTCATGTAGGAACATTCACTTTCCTCTTCAGCATTTGTACAGTGTGAAAAATTATTATTTTTGTGGTGCTGGGGATTGAACCCAGGGCCATGTGCATGCAAGGCAAGCACTCTACCAACTGAGCTATATCCCCAGCCCAAGAAATTATTCTTGTTCTTCCTGTAACCTCTGACCCAGTTCAGGGTATCCCAACCCAAAACAGGGAAATTATCAAACTTGAAGAATCTAACCCAGGAAGACAAGATCCCACTTTTTTCTTTGATAATGCTCTTCCCTTTATTGCAGAAGGCACCCAGGTCTCTTGAGAATGCAAAAAGTGCCACATCACATCACTTTAATGTGGGCCATCCAGGGATTTGATTCCTACAAAAATCAATGGAACTCCACCAGAAATATTCAATTAGATACAGTATTAGGGAAGTAACAAACAATTGAGAATGTCAGTCTATGACATCTGAGTTTCTCTAGGCTGAGAAACGGGCCATACTAATGTTATACAGCATATGTTTCTTTTCATGTTTTCAATCTAGAACCTGAGGTAGGCAAAGATAATATAATTAAACTGCAACACATAAGCAGACAATGGTTCAGAGCTCATGATTTGCCCTTGGTCTCACAGTCAGTGAATAATAAGCCAGGTCTAGAACTGGGGTTCCAGTGACTCAAGTCAGATTTGGTGGTTTCTAAGACAGGGTCATCCTGGCTGGGATAACATGAATACTCTTCAGCTGGGGCTGTCGTCCGAGACCAGTGTGCACTTGTACGTCTCCTTAAAGGCCACAAGGAAAGATGGCATTATTTCATCCACGGTGATGTGCCTCTGGAGCTCCTCACTTAGGGAAGTGACGCCTGTCCCAACCAGTCCGCAAGGTACAATATGCTCAAACCATGTGAGGTCCGTAGAGCAATTCAGAGCCAGGCCGTGGGATGTGATGTGCCTTCCACAACGAACTCCTGCAAGGCAAGTCAAAGGGTTTTAGAATAGATAGCCTCCTCTTCCCAGGTCTTGGGATCTCAGCACAAAGAGGGAACTAGGCCAGATGACTGGTTTTCAATTTTTGTTTCTGGAGCATGGATTGTGCACAGACTGGGGGACGGCGACTACCAAACCAAGCTGTCTTATTATGGGGATTCCTTTAATAGAAGGATTATTGCTTTTAAAGTTTGAAAATTAGTGTCCTGTTTTCACATTGTGATTCACAAGTAATCTGGTGATTCACTTTTTATGTCTCTCTGCCCTTAAAAAAGGTGTTGGACTATATGACTTCTGAGGACCCTACTGCTTCTGGATATAAGATGTCTCTGAAGAACCTAAAATAATTCAAACGCAGCAGCGCGCAGTACGGATTCAAAGCCCACTAGGGTCACCCCTGCTCCGCCCAGAGCTCTACCCTCACCTTCAAGGGTCCAGCCCCAGGCCCCGCCCCGCGGCGCTCACCGATCGCGCAAACCTTGCGCTCGCCCAGCCAGACGCCGGTGTAGGGCGGGGGCCGCGCGCGGGCGCCCCTGAGGCCCTGGAGTTCGCACAGGCGCACGGCGCACGCCTCCAGCGCCGCCACGTGAGTGCGCAAGCGCAGGCCTAGGCGCCGCAAGTCCAGCAACGGGTGGCAAAGCAGCTGCCCCGGACCGTGGAAGGTGGCCAGGCCGCCGCGGCCTGTGGCACGCACCTCGGCGCCCAAGGCCCGCAGCCGCGCGGTTTCCTCCGATGTCAGGCCACCGCGCAGCCCGGCTGTGTAAACGGGCCCCGCGGGCTCGCACAGCAGGAGCGCGCCCGCCTCAGTCCCCGACGAGGCCTTAGTTGCAGGCTCGGCCTGCAGTCGCCGCAGCCAGCGCTCTTGTAGCGCCAGTAGCTCGGCATACTGCACGCGACCCAGCCACACCAGCCGAACCCCGGGTTGCGACATCTTACTGGCGGTGGCGTCCAGGACCCGGGCCCCTGCCTGGGCCGGAGGGCGGGGATTCAAGGCCACGCCCCGAATCGCTGTTCCGGAGTCCTGGTGTAAGCTCCGGAGAAGCTGTGTGATCAGAAGGTTCGGCGTCATCCATTCATTAGTTTCAATAATCAGTATTTAGTATGTGCTGTTCCTGCAGGCACTGTCCTGGGCGCGCGGTACAGGGGTTCACTGTGTATGAGAAAGATCTGCGTTGGTAGCCGTACATTCTTACAGCAGACAACTAGCAAGTGCATTAAAGTATTAAATTACAGCATTTCACATAGTTGTAAGTGCTATGAAAAGAAAAATAAAACACTGTAATGTGGTGTTAGGTTGACTTTTTAGAAGATTCTAAGATGGAGATTACCTGCAGGAGGCTTTATGAAGGGCAGGAGAGGGTTGTCCTTCAAGACCATCACCTGTAAGGAGGATGATAGAGAGCAGGATTGAGGAGGAAGAAGTTGCACTTTGAAACAATTACATCAGAGGCCTTAGCCAAACCCAAGGAGTGCTCTGAGCCTGGTATGAACCATCAGTTATTCCAAATTGAAGCAAGGAGTCAGAAATTTAGATCCTTGCATTGACCATCCACCGATACAGGCTGCACTAGAAAGGCACTGAGACTTTTGGTAAGCCAGCTTCCTTTAGTGGTGGACAGTCAGGTCCCAGAGAGGAACTCAGTCGTGAGTCATTAGCAACCCACTCCTAGAAGCTGGAGGAATCAATGATTAAGTTCTGATAGTGACCCACAGCACCCACTGAGTTGCAATTGGAGTGTCATTTGAGCAAATCTGTTTAAAAAGGGGGGGGGGGTCTGTTCTTAAACATTTGAACATTTTTCTAGGCCCTTAAAAAGTCACTTCCAGGTGCTGTCCCTGAGGCATACAAGATCTCTGTGAATTATGAGGCCACTATCCAAGAGAAGAAACCAGGACAAGTATAATCTCTCCCTCTCTCTTCCATTCCCCTTCTAAACAGGAAGGCAACCCCTGCACAGGGTGTGTGGTTAGATTCAGTATACAAGTGGTGGGGCTAAGGTAATGTAAACACTCAATTATTAACTAATCCTCATATATTTGGGAAACAGTCCCCAGGGGTGGGTAGGGCAGGAAGTGGTAAGAGGAAGAACAGAATAGCAATCGGAGTGAGGCTCAGGGCCAAAAGTTGGGAAGGAAGACAGACTAGCATGGGCAAAATAGACAATGGTAGGTTTCAGACCAGATCACAAAAGTCATTGTGAGTCATCAATGGCAGCACTTTGGTTGAAAAAATAAACATACCTTTTAGATAGCCAGGGGCTCTGAGGGAAAAAGAGGTTAGATTACATAAGGCCATGTCCCATGGTACCTAAAGCTTATAAATATGTTTTAGGTGGGGAAAGAAACTCAAAAGACTTGGTTTTTTAAGAAGATGACCTCAGTGCCCCAGCCTAAAATGTGTTCTGACATACAGGAGTCCTAAATAGGGAGGCCAGGGATCAGGGGTCATGTTCCATCTCCATCACTGTTTATTTGAGAATGAACTCTTTGCTTTATCCCTGGGTTCCCATTTTGCCTAGAGCCTGGCACCCAGTAATTCTCAATAAATGGTTGCAGAATAGATGAATTATTTGATAAATAACTTGCTGTGTGTTCCTTGAATTGAGACCTTTTACCAAAGTACCAACCAAAAAAACAGAAGCATAGGATCAAGGTGGCCTCCAGGTCCCTAATGATCCCATGTTCTCAGGATGCAAGGACTAGCATCACCTGTAAAAAATATGCAGTCCATATGTTGTGTCCACAGCCCACGTATGTCAGGAAAATAGGGTAGGTTTCTGAGGCTAAAGAAAGTGCCCTGAGATGGCATGCAGGACATATGATTTGTTGGGAAAAGCCCGCCAAGAGATCAGCGACTGTTCCAAGAGGAGTTCAGTGGCAGCAGGTGAACAGATAGTACCTCCATTCCTCAAAGTGGTTTGCCAAGCAGTGGCTCCTGTCCCTCACTGCATTTTGTCCAGTGGCAACCAGCTGGATGAGTGATGCATATCCTTTCTACTAATTGCTCTCAGTTTCTCCAGTGGCCACAAAGAGAGGGGGGGGGGGCTTTTATATGTTATATTGTAAAAGCAGTGACATCATCAGCATTAGTTTACCTTAGTTTGCTGTGTAACCAGCATCACAAGCAGCAATTATCATAGTGTACATGTAAGAGTAGCTTTCTACAGAACACTAACTTGACCTAGTTCCCATTGTACAAAGAGAAAGCCCATTTCCTTCAAGATAGTTTGTATCTGGACAGTCTGATCCATGCTCGCTCTTATTTTCCCCTTAACTTGGCAAGGTTTTTGGAAAAGGAACATTAGGCACATGGTGTTTTACTTTCCTCCTGTAAGACTGGAAGACTCCGCACCACACGACACAGATCACCAAAGAGGTTTCCGCTTTATTACAAAAGGCTGTGTGTTTATATAGGTCTAAGGAGAGGTCACAGGGCTGAGGTAGATAACAGGTCGCCCGTTTATTGGCAAGCTCTTCCATTTGTCAGTTCCGGAGCGCAAGAAGTTAATTCTAATTGGGGCTAAGGCTTCCCACCAGCAGGGTTTGAACATTGGCACCTGCGGGAACGTTTTGCGCCAGTGAAAGAAACAAAGAGGAGAAAGAGGGTCGTTAGACGCCATGTTGGGTTTTTTTCTGGGGTGCTGCTGTCGTTATATGTTTTCCCAACACCTCCTTTTCTTTAAGGATGACACACTATGGCGTGGTGAATCAAATTTGTATTTAGCCCACAAGACTCAGCTCAGAGCCTGCTTCCTCCACCATGTCTCCTCTACCGCTACCTCAACAAATTGTACCTCTACTTACCAGTCTGCTGTGGTTATTCTGAGTTGGGCTTATCACCTCCATTCCTGACTTAAGAACACAGACTGATAACTAACATTTAAATAGTACTTACCATGTGTTGAGTACTCTAAAAGCTTTAAAATAATCAATGCATTTAATATCTTAATAATACATAAAGTAGGTATTACTATTTGTTTCATTTTACAGATGAGGAAACTGAGGCACAGAGTGAATAAATTGCTAACCATTGGACTACTAGAAAGCTTCAGGGAAAAGATTCAAATTTGGGAAGTTAGGCTCTAGAATCTTTGGCCTTATCAAGGACCCTTTCTTATTGATTTTTAAATACCCCACAGCATACATCCCATGGTCCAGCAATTAGTAGATGTGTGGTAAATGTTTGCTGGATAAATGAACACAGCTACAGTAAGCTAGGCAGCTGGGTATCAGAAAAGCATGAGGTTTCCCTGAGTACCAATGTGCCTGTTGAGCCCCGGAATTCCCCTCAAAATATGTGGTTTGTGTGTCCATCAATCCAATGAATATAGCTATTATCCTACCCTATTTTCCCTCACTCCACAGTGCCAGGGATTAACAAACAAATCTGATTTTGTCCTTGTCCTGGAGAAGCTGCCAATCTTGAGGTAGAGTCACACATGTCCACAGACAATGGCAGCACAGTATGCAGAAGAGGGATTGTCAAGAAATGTTGCATAATCTATAGAACAGATTTTGATTGGGGTTCTGCCTGACCCTAGCCCAAGTATCCAGAGACAGAACAACCTGTCTCAGCTGATAGCTACCCTTGCCCTGGGGATCCAGAGTTCTGTATGTAGTCTGAATCCTGGGGTTCTTGCTGGCTAACATGACCCTAGATTGAGCCACTTCTCCCCCTTCGAACTTTGATGCTGATAATTGACCTTGACCCTTTATACCAAAGCATGTGGTAAGACATAAGACTTGAGTCCTTGGTATCATTGGCCCTTTCTTCATCAGCCTCTAAGGAGGCGAAGATCAGACTAAACAAGGCCTGTGGCTAGAGCAACCACACTGTGTAGACTTTCAGCACTGACCTAATCTCAGAAATTATCCAGATCCCTTTCCCACCCCAAGGTTCAGGATAGGCAAGGGCATCCAGTAAAATAGACAGGACAGGAACTCAGGACTCCTGACCTTTAGTTTGGTGGTTTTTGCATTATGGGAGAAGGCTGAAATCAGTTTGTGGGGCCCTTTCTTAATGGGTATTACACAGATCCCTATTATATAAAGCAGAATGGCTGTTTAAAGTAAGGTAGGGCTCCCAGAAGATCACCCTCTTGACTTCTCCTTTTCTGTCTCAGCCTTTATGTAAAACCTGTCTGTTTTGTTGTTTTTTTTTTTTTTAATCATAATCTCTCAATAGTGAGAGTCGGTCCACTGAGATCTTAAGCCCAGGTTAGATGGCCGCCACCTCCCTCCTGCTGGTACCCATCCACTTTCTTCCCCTTCCACACTGCAACCAGAGACCTTTCAAAGACCCAGTCCTGTCAATGCCACCCTCCTGTTTTAAAACATTCATTTGTCCATTTGTCTAGCAATATTTATTAAGTGCTTTCATCATGCAAGGCACTGGAATAAGCACTAGAAGTAGAGTGAATATAATAGTCTCTGCCTATTTGGCATAGGTAGGGGAGCCCACAAACCTATTGACAATCAAATAAATCACTAAACAAGGTGTGGCGATAGAGACTAAAACAGGAGGATCACCTGAGATAATGTCCATATGAAGGTCTCTGAGGACACTGAAGGACAAGCCAGTGTTATTTGGGAGATCATTCCAGGCTGAAAGAAGAGTTTGTGTGAAGGTGTAGGGTGATAGAATGAAGAAAATATAAGAAGTGGGCAAGGCTGCTGTGAAATAAGGCCCAAGAGCCCTGCAAGTCACATTAAGGTTATTGGTCTTTATCTTCAGAGCAAAGGTAATGCCATTGAATGGTTTTAACCAAAGCAGTGACACAGCACCATTTACATTTTAAAAATCATGCTGGCTGTAAGAAGGCAAGAGTGGAGGCAGAGAGGTCTGTTAAGAAGAGATTGTTGTAATCCAAGTGAGAAACAGCTGCCTGGGCTCTCAGGGAGGGTGGCAATGGAGATGGAGAAAGGGAAGAA